TTTTTTTTTGTTTCGTTTTGTTTGTTTGTTTGTTTCGGGGGTTTTTCGGGGGGGGGGGGTTGGTTTTGTTTTGGTTTGTTTTTGGAGAGGGGGGGGGGGGGTATAATCTTATTTTTACTCCCGTCTTATGCTCAGATAAAGTAAAGCACTTTTCTTGTTCAATCGTGTCTGTTTAACACTAGTTTCAACTTCATATCCATCGCAAATTATTTAGTTTTAGGATATTATAATTTAATGTGTTCATTTAAACAACAAAGTATGTCTCGAAAGTCCTAACTGCAAAACAATATTTTGAGTCTTACATTTGTATTCAATGGGGAGGGGGAGGGGCGTCAACGGGTTGACCCTAATGATACGATCGGAAGCTCGACTTCTAAACAATTGTGTCGATTGAGGCGTTAAAACACCGAAAGCAAACCATCTCACTTTGCTTGCCTTTGTATCTTTCAGAAAGAGCACAAAGACACCGAGGCTGACCAAGTCAAGCAGATGATCAAAACGGTAAGTTATGAGTAAGGTTGAACCTGCCCAAACACCACCTGTATAAGACAACCACCTGTACAAATGACCACTTTACAGCCCCCCCCCCCCCCCCCTGTGCGTCTCTTATTATATTATGAAACTGGCTAAACTGATAACATGCCCAACACAGCTGCGACCATTGTATTTTCGTCAACCAAAAATCCTAAAAACCTGTTTAAGATGGCTGCGCAAATCTCTCGTTGTCAGACTCGTTGTCATAAATTATCAATCTATCGGCCCCTTTTGCTGGGGAAAAGTTTTCATAATCCGTACACATGTCGTTATTGTTGTTGTCCTGTGAATGAAGCAATCGCTAACCAGCACGTTGCCAAATTAGATAGCATTTGTATAGCGCAAATCCCCCCTCAACTGCAGGCTCTATGCTCTTTACAATCTATATTTTTACCCCAGCAGACCTGAAACAACCTCAACTTCCTGGGAAACATACAGTGCAGGCGGTCATTTATAGGCGCTAAAACACTACCATACTGACAAAATGAGGTTACGTGTCCCTCCCATTGTTTCCCAAGTTGACCAGACGCTAACAGTAAGCTTAAACGGCCTGCCCTAATCCTGTGGCGTCTCCGGTTGGGAACTTGGGAGGGAATAGTTTGTTTTCTTCCTTTTGATCAGCCCTACCTGAGACATTAGCATTTTCATTATGTACCCCATGTCGTTTCTTACACTACTTACGGGGGCTCTCGTGGCCTAGAGGTTAAGGTATTGGCCTCTCATTCAAAGGTCCCGGGTTCGATTCCGGGTAGCGACCAAAAAATTTTCTTCTCTAAAATTGTCTCCTTTCACATCCTTTCCTGATCTCTAACAATGTTCTGTTGTCTGCTTTCATTTCCACTTTCTGCCCCCACCCCCTCACCCCCTTTGCCCCCTCCTCTGGGCTCCTGACTCTTTCTGCAGCCTTTCTACTGCTACTCCCTGGCTCCTCCTAACTGCTCTCTTTCTGCCACACCCCTGATCTTCTGGTAGGAAAGATTTACACCTAGCCTTCTCGGACAAGGGCGAAAAATCTCGGAGGGCCCGTGTGCAAGTTGCGCACGTTAAAGATCCCTTGGTGGTCTAAAATCGATAAGAGTAGGCTTCGGCCGCCACCCGGGCAAAATTCAAAATTTCCTACCAACGAAAAAGTATTAGGTGCGTCCCGCGCGCTCATATGACCTTATGCAGTTGCGAGCGCCGTAAAACCCTATACTAAACAAACAAACAAACAAACACTACTTACAGCTGGAGTCCAAGATCAGCAGCCTCGAGTCCAACTGCCTTACCGAGGTGCGTCATCTGGTGCACAACGTGGATGTGTTGAAGAAGGAGCTACACAACAGTCAGCAGGAACTGAGATCTTTGAAGGAATACTCCAGACAGATGGAGAGAAGGAGAGAGGAGGAGAAGCAGCAGATGCTGGTGAGTACGTGAGAGGGATGGAAAGGGGAGAACGGGGATTCCTTGTGTATGTGTGTGTTTGTATTTTTGTGTTTCGTGTGTTTGTATTGGTGTGTGTCGGTGCGTGTGTGGCAATTATTAAAAGTGTGTTTAAATCTTACAAATTACTCTCTCTCTCCCTCTCTCTCTCTCTCTCTCTCTCTCTCTCTCTCTCTCTATGTGTGTGTCTATCTATCTGTCTATCTATCTATCTATCTATCTATCTATCTATCTATCTATCTATCTATCTATCTATTTCTCGCTCCCTCTCCTTCTCTCTCTCTCTATCTCTCTTGATCCAAATTGTGTCGATGGGGGTGTACATTTTAAATTAAATCTCCCTCTGTCTGTCTGTCTGTCTGTCTGTCTGTCTGTCTCTCTCTCTCTCTCTCTCTCTCTCTCTCTCTCTCTCTCTCTCTCTCTCTCTCTCTCTCCCCCCTCTCTCTCTTTCTATCCTGCCCCATCTCTAAGTCTATCGTTCTCTTTCCCTCTCCTCCTCTATCTTTTTTTATATCTCTTTCTCTCTATCTGTCTCCACCCTTCTCTCTCTCTCTCCCCAGAGAAAGAGGCCAATCAGAAGAGAACTTTGAGAACCACTACAGCCCCCTCGTTGGTTTCGTCGGCTCCCGCTGCAACTACCTCAAGATGAAACTGGACACCCTGAAGAAACACCTGAAAAATCTGGACGTGCAGACTAAAACAGTCCTCAGCCAATCGTTGGTGGAGACACCGAGGGAAGGGGAAATAACTCAAGGGGGTAAGTTTAGAAGTATTTTTTTTATAGGGGGGGGG